AGTTAGCAACAGGTTTTTAGTCACGGGCTGACGTTAGTTTTAAGTTACTTGACAGTTGTCAAATGTCATGCAATCGTTAAAATAAAGTGCCTTTCTTGTAAAATAATACTAAATGTGAAAATTATTTTACTTATTTTGCGTTCATAATGACACCGCTTTCGGTGCTGTAATGAGATACTTTATCCCACCCAAAATTTTATTTTATAGGTTCGTTATACTTTAAACAGCAAAATATTTTGCATATTGGTTATAATATTTTTATGATTTTTCTAGTACTTTTCTGACAATAAATTTTGTTTAACACCAAAGAATATCCTTTTTTTCTTCTTTAACATTAACAGCCGCTTATTGTAAATAAGTAAATTAAGGACGGCATGGCGAATCGATTTTGACATTAACTGTCAAACCAATGACTGTGATACCAACTATCTAAGGTAAAATTCGACCAAATTAAATTTAAGGTATAAAATTAATTTTTTTATAGAATTTTTGCAAAATAGATAAAATAGCATAAAGAACTCATGTCAAAAGACCTTTTGTCGCTCGTTTTAAAAATTGTCCGCGAAAAAATTACGTCTTATGACTATTAAAGTATCAATAATTGTTAAGTTTAATTAAAATAATAACGGGCAATGTAAAATTTGCTCGTTACCAAAATTCGTGACTAAAATGGCGTTTATAAAACTTAACATAATATACTATTATATATTTTGTTAATCAAATACTTTAAGCAGGTATTATTGATAAAATACGTTTTGTTTATTTTTTTTAACATACACTCATACACTTTTTACATAATTTTGGAGACACCCTGTATACAGGGTGTTATGTAATTAATGTTATATATTAAAATACTGAATACCTTTTGACATAAGGAATAAAGGAAAAATATTTTAAAAAGCATTTTTCCAAAGATAAAGAAAAAATATGCATTAGAAGTTTTTTATATTTTTTGTGATACGCCACTGGTTACACACTTGTTTATCTCTACACACCTGTATTTTGTGAGTGCATAGATACCAACCAACAAAGTAGCTATGCGTTGCCAGATGTAAAAAATTGTTACTAAAAATTTTTCTTGCAAAAAATAAATAAAAACTCAATAAATACAAAAGTTCCATGCCCTTAAAGCTCTAATACCCTTCTGTATTTATTTACTGATCCAGCTATTAGCTTAAGCAATGATTAGAAAATTTAGTACCTTTGAAATTTGAAATCCATAACCACAAAATTAATTTTTTCATCAGTTTTTTTCTCTGTTTACTCAGATGAAATTGGGACCAGTTCACAAGTTAAACTTTAAACATTTAATTTGTGTAAATAAATCCAAAAGCACTTCCCTTTTTTAAGATATTTACAATTTGAAAACATAACCTAAAAGTTGGCAGATTTTGTTTGAATTTACCTTCAGTACAAAAATGAAATAACCAACAATTAATAAAAACGCAAAATTGACAATTTGCATTGTTAATTTTGTCATTTTTGTAATTAAGCTAAATTTAAACAATGTTTGTCAACTTTTCTGAGAGTTTTTGGAAAAACTGTTGTTACCAACCATAACATAATAAATCCACCAGATTAACCTAAAGTTCCTAGTCGATCAGTGGCGTACTTTTTGGTAGGATAAAGGTTATTATAAATTATTTTTAGACTTTGGAATTTAGAAAAAAAAAGTTTCAGGTGCTTCTTTATGGACCCTAAGGAACAACCCATTTTAATATATAACATTAATTACATAACACCCTGTACAGAAATACCCTTAAAACATTTTTTTTATATAATATGGTTTAAGAAATATAGGTATTACCATTGAGTAATGGTATTACAATCTTAAAAAAAACACAGTTTCGCCAATATAAAATCTATATTTTATTTTATTATTGTTCAAACCAATTGTGGTATATTTTTGTATAATTTAGATTTCAAATCAGTGTTTATTGATACTATTATATAAATTACTTTGTATCTCTCAAAATCCTACATAATTTACAATAGGACTGATGTCCAACATTAATTTACTTTAATAATGTAAGCCCCGCATATAAAGAATTAGAAATACTTGAATATCGCCCATGCATGGTAGGTAGGATGGCTACAAAAGGCTATTCTTCAATTTCATGACGGCCAAAAAGCACCTCAGCTGCGCCATTGAAGAACACTACATTTAAAACAACTTTTAAACAGAGACAACAGCTGAAGAACGGAGGAGTTAGACGAAGATAAAGCCTGACATGTAAGGCGGAGCCAACTGAATTTGTTATTTTAGCATGTTTTATGCTAATTTGAGCCGTAGATACAAGAAACACAAGAACTTGTAGTAATTTTTGCCCAATTTTACCACGATAAGGCACTTCTGTCCTATTATTATGTTATTTGTTATAGTTTTGGTTATATTTGTAAGTATATTTTTTTAATGACATTAAAAAATATTCATATCTCGATAGAATTAATAGACATGCAACAATATACAAATTTAAGCTTCACAAAAAAAGTATTTTACGATAATGACATGGGTACTTTTTATTTTAACGAAATAAAATAAAAGTTATCTGCTCAACTTTGCTACCATTTACGGATTTAAATAGTGAAAACAGAAAAACAATTGAACGTCGGATTTCCGAAATATTCACAAAATTAACATTTTTTTAAATAGGACACCCTGTATATTTTTACATATTTCAAAATAGAATTTAATTTGGAACAAAAAATTATTATTGCATGACTACCATAAACTTAAAAATAAACAATTAATAAGAACTTGAAATAACCAAATTATTATTTTATTTTCACAAAAATCAGTTCAAGTGCTTAATAATTGTATAGTTTTAGGTTAGAGTAGTTTTGCAAATTAAATTTTCTTTTAAAATATGTAAACTCTTTAAAATGAATTAGTCAAAAATGACAAAAATTGTCATAGCAAAAAAGCAGCCACTAATAATTCTCGTCAATAGCAATTTGTATCCCGAACATTAAGCATTCAATTTCCATGTAAAATTGTCCCCTGAATCTGAAAATGTCGGCAAAAGTTAAAAAAGTAGAACAGTTTTTGAGATATAGTTAATTTTCCGGATAATATGGAATTGACCATATCTCAAAAACTGCTCTATTTTTATAATTGTTGACGGTATTTTCGGATTCAGGGGACAATTTTACATAAGAATTGGCTGTTAAATGTTGGGGATACCATGGTATCCCATGGTTAACCATGGTATAAGTGAAAAAGCAGCCACTAATAACTGTAGTAAGTAGTCATTTTTGACTAATTTATTTAAAAAAAAAAGTATATACCTATATATATGTAAATTTGCTAATTTAACCGACCGTAGCATAAAAACACCCTGTATATTGTTAAATTATTATCGAGTTATTTTTTCTTATGTCATCAAACATTATCGGATTTTTTTTAATTGCTTTTAAACATTAAATAATAATTTTTTTTTAATTGTTTTTAAACATTAAATAATAATTTAGATGATTCCCAAGTAAAAAAAAAACAACTTGGAAAATTACGGACATTAATAATTATTAATGTCCGTTATTTTCCAAGTTGTTTTTTTTAGTTGGGAACTGTCTAAATACAATTTAAAAAAATTATTTATGTACGTAAAACACGGTTTATGGTAATGTAGCATGGGTTCTTATAAGGTTAACTGAAAAAATAGTATATTATGTATCAAGTTTGATAAACGCCATTTTATACACGAATTTAATTTAGGCAAGAGCGAGCTTGCGAGCGAGTGCTTAATTTAATGAGTGTATAGAAAAGTTTATCAACGAGGGGCATACTATACTTTTTCTACGACAAATCCTTATTATTATCTTAAAATGATTTAAATCAAAAATTTGCATAGAGCGCCATCTATGAAACAATAGGGGAATCTATGTGTCACCGTCAAATGTCACATTTTTACATTTTATAAACACAGATTATAAAGGTTATAAATCGAACTGTATTTCTTGAAAATTGACAGTTTTTTACAGTGAAAGTAAAGAAAATGTTTTATGAGGACTTTACAGTAGAGTCTATGCCCAAATTTAAGTTACTAGTTTACTGCCGGCGAAATTAAAAACTTTTCAAATATTGGCGTTGAGAAACTATTTAATACTTTTGTATTTTTGTATTGAGATAATAAAATAATTTTCACATTTAGTATTATTTTAAAAGAAAGGCACTTTATTTTAACGATTGCATGACATTTGACAACTGTCAACTTAAAACTAACTTCAGCCCGTGACTAAAAACCTGTTGTTAACTTCAGCCCGTGACTAAAGCGCCATAAAGCCACAACTTGTCAATGTGTATTTAAAAGGTCACTATAGTGTCATGGAAACAAGTACGATAAAGGGCGTTTTAAAGGTGGGAGTAAAAAAAATCATTTCTATATTTTAAAAACTTTAAAAACATGTTAAAAAGACAAAATTCTTAAATAATCGGAAATGACCGTAACCACCAATTTTGACAAGCGCGGTTTATTTTAGTGCCCTTTCGTCAATTTTTATTTTATTGCGTGGAAATTTTAACACAATAAAGTAGATAAATAAAGCTAAAAAAGTCGGGCCTAAGATTTATTTATAAATTGAAGATTAATTTTGTTTTAGCTTTGTTAGGACTCATAAATATAGTTATTACCAATTATTGATGAACCTTTTTGAAAAACAGCATATCGAAAAAACATTATTTTTGCTGATTATGTTTATTTTTGGATTCATAATTTAAATTTCAAATTACCCTAGAAAAGCTGTTGCCTACCCTGCAGTAAAACGACTTGCACATTGTAATTTTCTAAAATTCTTATTTAAGATAGGTAACCTACGAAAAACGTAAACAATTTAACATTATCGTATTACCTGCGTATTGTATTGTACTTATAATAAACGTCGTTTTTAGGTTATGATTTGGTTTGGCAATTTTCGCACACTTGGATAGATTTAAAACATTCCGTGCGAACTGGGGACTTTCTAAAAACGTGGTGTTGAAAATTTGTGTTTTTTAAACTCACCTTGTTCTGTATAACGTCCACAATAACGTAAATAAGTAGGACGATTTCCTGTTCGTCGGAGCCCATTAGGGGGCCCTGTAGGCCCGCCGTGGCCACATACAGGACGCAAACGTGATGTGGCCCGATCATTTCGAGGCCCTTAATGCTCATTTACGGAAAATATTACACGGCCAGATTGTAGCACATAATTTTTGAATAAATTATAAACAGTCCGACATTTTGCCACGTGACACACCTGTTGTGTGTTCAGGTAAAAACGAAAATTTTGTTGTTTTTCGAATATTTGAGAGTCTTTAAACTAGCACATAGATATCTTATCAAAGTATTAAGATTTAATCACAGGTTTTGTTAACTTAACCTAGGCAGTACTTATTATTACGTTAAATAAAATATCACAATTCAAATATAAATGACTATAAAATGAGCTAAAATAGTGTTTTATCGCGGGCGCACTTTATTTAAGTTAATTTTACATAAAATCGAAGAGGCAGCGGGCCGGCAAAACACTAAAAACTTGAACGCACTGTCACAAACACAATATTACAATAAAATTTCAAGTCGCGTTTACACTCTCTATATTCAACAGGTATTTTGTGAGGTTACGCGACGTATAAAACATAAAACAACGGAAAAACGACGCGGCGATGATGAACGTGTAATGTTTTTAGGTATTCACAGCCTTCTTAACATTTGACAAGTTACTGTCGTTGTAGTTTTGTCGCACAGGTATGCCGTAGCCTGAGTTTTCCCCGACTTGGTGCGCTGGGACCGCTTTTAGACTGGTTCTACCTGGACACGCCGCAAACCAATGGGGGGAAAGGATATAAGGTACAGTCTATAGCAAGCAAGGTAACTGTATTTCAACCGCATATTCTATGGTTATATAATTAGACAACTTCGTACGGTTGCCGCATGTTGCCTCTTCTTTACTGCCTTGCCTGCTTAGGTGCTTCTTTTTACTCGTTTCCATTCAAAGCTCCATTCTTCGCGCAAATCATCCTTATTCAAATTAATTTTTTATCACTAGCTACGTGCGTTCAGAAAGACATTCCACCGATTTAACGAGACCGAATCAAAACTATTCTTTATTACGTAATTTCTCAGATCGTTATTTTCAATACAAAAACATCGGTGCAATTTCAAGATAACTTATATCTTATCTAGGTATACCCATCAAATAAGTATATTTCTAAAGGTGTTAAAATCTTAAATTTATCACGCAAATGAAATGCGATTGTAAACCAAAGTATTTTAATTTGTACAGGTTTCCCATATTTACTTTTTTTCACTACCTAGTTTTTGAGTAATTTAGGTTTTTTTAGAGAATTGATTTTTTTAAATGTTTTTTAAGAATATTTATTTATACAGGGTGTTTTCGAAAAATCCTTATGGATTTACAAGCACAACCATATGAATTGGGACTGCATACACCAAAAATTTTAAATATCTCCACACGCAGAAGTCGAGTGGATTTAAATCTGGAGAACGAAGAAGCCATGGAATTGGCCCTAAATGTGCCCTTACGTTCGCAGAAAATTGGGGTGGGCGCCATCACGCATAAAAAACATCGAAAATTTTAAATGGTAGGGCACCCCAGATAACACAGAGACATCTTAAAGACATTTTAAAGATGTCGGACTTGGACACGTCCAGTTTACGACGAAAGTCGTCTTTAAGATATCTAATTTTACAAAACACACCGTCTTTAAGATGTCCTTTTAACGGCATTAATAATAATAATAATAATAATAATAATAATAATAATAATAATAATACTTTATTTATGCTTAAAAACAATACAAAATTGTGTTCACAAGTCGGGAACATAAATTAATAAATATATAATTATCAACTACACTAATTATAAATAAAAGAATAAATACAAGAAAATTCGTTGCATAATAAAATAAAGAATACAACAAATATAAACAAGCAAATAAAAGAATTAAAAAAATACAATTAAAAAACATTAATAATCAAAACACTACATGGCATCAATACATTACATTACTATCACAATATTCCAAAAACTCTTTCATGCTATAAAAACAATGCTCTAACAAAAACAATTTCAAAGAAGATTTCATTTTTTTTAGAGAATATTTTTTCCAACTAGGTGGAATCTTGTTATAAAATATCACCGATTGGTATTTAAAAGACTGCTGCATTTTAGAAAGCCTGCATTTTGGTAGAGCTATCAAGCCTCTATTTCTAGTATCATGACCATGATGGCACTGATAGTCCTCAGAATGAGCATACAAGATACAGTCCAAGATATACTGACCACTAAGGGTCAAAATCTTCAGATCTTTAAAAATTGGCCCACAGTGATTAGTATATCCAGCACCATAAATAGTTCTCACAGCTTGCTTCTGCAAAAGGAAAACTTTGTAAGCATTAGAAGAATTTCCCCATGCCAAAGTAGCATAAGATAAATGGCTATGAAAAACAGCAAAATATGTCATTCTGAGTACACTTCTCGATAATAGGCTACGAACTTGTCTGACCAAATAGATGCTTACTTAGTAAACTTAAAACATGTGCCTTAAAGTCCATTCTGCTATCCAGGTATATATTGAATACTTAATTGAAAGCTGATTATTAAAAGAAGGTTGTAAAGTAAAATACATACTTTGGGTTTTCTCGTTGCTAAACGTTGTTAAGACGTCTTTAAGATGTTAAAGACTACCTATTGAAAACGTCTTGGTTATGCATTGCTACATCGCCAAAACGTTTTTAAGGTCTACTCTGTGGTAGCTAATAATGCTTTTAAACTTTTAAACTCCTATTTAAAATAAAAAAAAATTAAATTATTACATTATAGGTGGGTATCAGGGTCAGAGACCAGGGCTATCAAATATTTTTTTCGGAAAACACCACAAAAATGAAACCAAATTCACAAAAAGAATCGAAAATCAACACTGCACACTGCTTTGACTTGCAAGTCAAAGCAGTGTGCAGACATGTCACTTGAAGAAAAACCGCCACGATTAGTAATAGCATTCAACCAAATTCAACATACAAGAAGCAAAAATGGCAATCTGCATTTAGTTACGAGTTATTTAAGAATTAAAAAGAGGCAGACATCAGCGCTTGGTGAAATACAAAAAACAGCATAAGGATCATAATATGACGTGACTTATAAGATGGTGCCAATTTGATGATTTCATTGCATTATGGGAAATTTGCGGGTAATTTGATTTAAAAAATTTTGCTGAGTTATTTTAAGGTTATTTTGTCTTAATACTTAATTTTTAAAAAAACATATTTGTTTATAATATTTTTATTAGAAATGGATATTATTAAATGTAACAAAAATTACCAATCTACAAAAATGTCAGATTTACCTATATTTATTCAGTAACCCTACCCATCATCATTGTCAAAACCTAAAATCCTATATTAATGTAAATAAGATGGTAGGTAACTACTATCTTAATATGAAGTGGCGTTGGGATATAATTTCAATTTTGACAAAAAATTTAAAAAAATGAAGATATATTTAAGACGTCTTTCAGACGTCTTTTTTGGATCTTCAGACGTTCAGGCGTAATACAGACATACAAAAGACATCTTCAAGACGTTGTGAGCTATCTGGGACGTCATCAAGGAGGTTTATGAAAACGTTTACAGAAAATACATGTATTGTCTATTAAAGATTTAAGGTAAATAAGTCTTATTCTTTTAAAAGTTCATTTACAAATTGACTATTAATCCAAAACTCTCCTTATCCATAAGTTATATCATTTCAGAACTTGTCTTATACAAGTGAGCCTATCAGCTTACATATCAAAATCATTTGTCTTTTAGAAGGTTTTGTACAAAAATCTATATTCAATATCCAAGTAAATATTATCATTATATGTATATACCTACCTATTGAATTTTAAATTAAAAATAAACAAATTGCTTTTAGATAAAGTTCTACTTTTTTAATATCAACTAATGCATTACAATGGCAATTTATTAACATTTTATAAATTTGATAACATTCAAACGTATTATAAAATTAACTGGATAATTGTTTATTATTATTTAAACAAGTTTTAATAAATTACCATTTTTTTGTTTTATTTAAGCCAGGCACTACTTTATTATTATATTCAGTTATTGAAATAAATTTTTATAATTGGGCATGAGAACTCAATTATTTTCATAATTTTGTTATACATAGACATTAGGGTGGAGTGAATTTTATTAAATTTATTAATTGATTTTTCCTATATTATTAATTGTTGACTAAAGGCGTAAAATGAATAAATATCGAAAAAATATTCAAATTTTTTAATATCTTGAGGTGGCGCATCTGTCTCGAAGTTTTGAAAATTCTAAAAAAATATTACTTTAATCAAAGTAATAAAAATAGCATTATTTATAAATAAAAAGTTTATTTTAGTAAAATTAACGTGAAACGTAAACATATTTAATTGTAAATCATATGCTTTAAGTAACTTCAGGAGTGTTTATTGGTAGAAATGAGATCTTCTTTTTCGCGAAAATATATGTCAGTATACTGACATTTGGTATCAAAATTTGGTAATTATTTTCTGACTTTAATTCTTGTTCTGATGAAACCATTTCTTGCTTCCGATCCACAAACCGAGACTGAAGATTCAGTATACTGGTTATAACCAGTTTTACACAGCGTTCCACTGCTTGGGTGTGACACTGAAATTTTTGGAAGTATAGGAAATGGTCACCCAAAGAAATCATATCGGTAATTTCTGTCATCGTATTTCATAGTCATAGGTGGTTCAGTCACCTTTTCTGTCGCCCAGTGAATTAACTGCTACAAACGTAATGCTTCAGTATTTAGTTGTGGAAGCTTTAATTCCCGTAATCTCGAACATTTTGATTCTTTTCTCGCCTTTAATATTTTCGGCAATGCTAGTTCTCTGATCGATAGATATATTGTAGGTAACATAGCAAGTAATAGGTTTTCGGGATAAATATTTCGCTAAATATTCTTTATAACTATAGTTATAAGACCTTCAAGTTTTTCTGGAGATGTAATGCTCTTTTAGTCATATTAAATATGTGAATAGGACCATGTTTGCACGTAGGCTTGGTGTTGATGTAAAACCACGTTGGGGCATACACTTTCATGATAAAAGTAGCCAATTCTTTTAGGTTTTTCGATGGATTTGCTGTCCCCCCATATAAACGAATAATCCTATTAGCCTACGTCAGCCATAGGGAATGTGCTAACTTGCCTGGATCTTTGTAAGCTATAGCTAATATTTATCCCGAAAACCTATTACTATGTTACCTACAATATATCTATCGATCAGAGAACTAGCATTGCCGAAAATATTAAAGGCGAGAAAAGAATCAAAATGTTCGAGATTACGGGAATTAAAGCTTCCAAAACTAAATACTGAAGCATTACGTTTGTACGAGTTAATTCACTGGGCGACAGAAAAGGTGACTGAACCACCTATGCATAGGTGGTTCAGTCACGACTATAGTATATATGAAATACGATGGCAGAAATTACCAATATGATTTCTTCAGGTGACCATTTCCTATACTTCCAAAAATTTCCGTGTCACACCCAAGCAGTGGAACGCTGTGTAAAACTGGTTATAACCAGTATACTAAATCTTCAGTCTCGGTTTGTGGATCGGAAGCAAGAGATGGTTTTATCAGAACAAGAATTAAAGTCAGAAAATAATTACCAAATTTTGATACCAAATGTCAGTATACTAACATATATTTTCGCGAAAAAGAAGATCTCATTTCTACCAATAAACACTCCTGAAGTTACTTAAAGCATATGATTTACTATTAAATATGTTTACGTTTCACGTTAATTTTACTAAAATAAACTTTTTATTTATAAATAATGCTATTTTTATTACTTTGATTGAAGTAATATTTTTTTAGAATTTTCAAAACTTCGAGACTGATGCGCCACCTCAAGATATTAAAAAATTGGAATATTTTTTCGATATTTATTCATTTTACGCCATTAGTCAACAATTAATAATATAGGAAAAATCAATTATTAAATTTAATAAATTTCACTCCACCCTAATAGACATGTTTTGCAATTAGCAAAAACATAATTAATTTCGTAAGAGACCTTGCATTAAAAAATATGTTTCAAAATTAAAAACCTTGTGTTATACGAAATATGCAGTAATGCTATTTATTTTAGCGAATTTAGCC